GATGGGCATGCTGGAAACTCAGACTTGTGGGGGTACGGGGGCAAAAGGGCATTTATTGAAACCTTAAAGTCTGTACCCCCATAATATGCCGAAATAAAAACAATAAATAAAAAATAAATGTTTAGGTTACATATATTGCCTTTGCTCCACCCAAGTCAGAGCTTCAAGATTTGCCAAGATTTTGTTGAGGATTTTTGCATCTATATTCATGACAGATATTGGTCTGTAGTTTTCTTTTCTTTGTTGTGTCCTTTCCTGGCTTTTGTATCAGGGTGATACTGGCTTTGTAGAATGAGTTTGGGAGGATACCATCTTTCTCCATGTTGTAGAATAATTTCTGCAGTATAGGTATGAGTTCTTCTTTGTAGGTTTGGTAAAATTCGAGTGTAAACCCATCTGGTCTGGGACTTTTTCTGGTTGGAAGGTTTTTAATTGTTGCTCCGATTTCTGTGTTTGATATTGGTCTGTTCAGGAATTTATTCCTCTGTTGAACTTAGGAAGGTTATATGTTTCCAAGAAATTGTCCATTTCCTCTACATTTTGTAGTTGCATATAGATAGAAAATGAAAAATTTGTTTTTTTGAGACAGGTCTCGCTTTGTTGTCCAGGCTAGAGTGAGTGCCGTGGTCAGCCTAGCTCACAGCAACCTCAAACTCCTGGCTTGAGTGATCCTTCTGCCTCAGTCCCGAGTAGCTGGGACTACAGCATGCGCCACCATGCCGCTAATTTATGTATAATATATCAGTTGCCAATTAATTTCTTTCTATTATAGTAGAGAGGGGGTCTCGCTCTTGCTCAGCTGGTGAACCCTGACCTTGAGCAATCCGCCCGCTTGGCCTCCCAAGAGCTAGGATTACAGGCGTGAGCCACAGCGCCCGGCCAGGTTTTGTATTTTTGTGATGTCTGTGATGACCTCTCCTTTTTCATTTCTTTTTTTTGAGACAGAGTCTCGCTTTGTTGCCCAGGCTAGAGTGAGTGCCATGGCGTCAGCCTCGCTCACAGCAACCTAAACCCTGGGCTCAAGCAATCTCCTGCTCAGCTCCCAAGTTAGCTGGACTACAGCATGCGCCACCATGCCCGGCTAATTTTTTTCTTATATATATAGTTGGCCAATTAATTTCTTTCTATTTATAGTAGAGACAGGGTCTCGCTCTTGCTCAGGCTGGTTTTGAACTCCTGACCTTGAGCAATCCGCCTGCCTCGGCCTCCCAGAGTGCTAGGATTACAGACGTGAGCCACCGCGCCCGGCCTCCCTTTTTCATTTCTAATTGTGTTTATTAGAGTCCTTTCCTTTCTAGTTCTTGTTAATTGAGCCAGAGGGCTGTCAATTTTGTTTATCTTTTCGAAAAACCAAGTTTTCGTTTTATTGATCTTCTGTATAGTTCTTTTGTTCTCAATGTCATTTAGTTCTACTCTGATCTTAGTTATTTCTTTTCTTCTGCTAGGTTTAGAATGAATTTGCTCTTTTCCAGTTCCTTTAGATGGTTTATTAGTTATTGGGTGTTGGTCAGGTGGGGAGGTGAGGGTGGGTAAATTCACAAGTAATGGATGCGGTGCGCTCTGTATGGGGGAAGGGCACGCCTCTAGCCCTGGCTTGGGCAGGCAAAGTCTTTATTTGTAAGCAAAATGTTTGTACCCCCATAATATCCTGAAATTTAAAAAAAGAGTTTGTATTAATACTTTATTTGGGGCCAGGCGCGGTGGTTCACGCCTGTAATCCTAGCGCTCTGGGAGGCTGAGGCAGGAGGATCGCTCAAGGTCAGGAGTTCCAGACCAGCCTAAGCAAGAGCAAGACCCCATCTCTAGTAAAAATAGAAATAAATTAGTCAGACAGCTATAAAGATATAGAAAAAATTAGCCGGGCATGGTGGCGCATGCCTGTAGTCCCAGCTACCCAGGAGGCTGAGACAAAAGAATCGCTTGAGCCCAGGAGTTTGAGGTTGCTGTGAGCCAGGCTGACGCCACAGCACTCTAGCCCAGGCAAAAGAGTGAGACTCTGTCTTAAAAAGAATACTTTATTTGGAAGGTGGTTAGTGGTTAATAGAACTTTACGTTTAGGAAAATCATGCTTTTAATTTTAAAGGTCAATGAAATTATTTAGAATGCATGTTTTTGATGGGCGTACAGTTTAGACAATGGACCTGGAAATCGAGGGCAGAAAATCTTATAATGAAATGATCAGATAAAGGTTGGAGAAGACCTAACAGTGTTATTCACTTAAAAGGAATTAATGATTAAATAAACCAACTCTTTTTCTTTTGAGATATCCTTCTTGTATCCCAGAACAAGATTAGGAATCAATATGAGGTATTGGCATGAAGGCAGATGGCAATGTCGTATTGTTATTCAGAGGCAGAGAAAAAAGTATTTGGGAAATTGGATATGTAAATTTGTATCTTAGAGTACCACGAGAAATAACTAATAAGCTATTCTTGATTATTACTGAGATATCTGAGGATTAGAGAAAGCTGAGTAAGGGAGGGGTTGGAAGGTAAATGTCTTAAGGCCAGGCAATTATCATTCAATTATTGATACACTATTATAATTGAACAAAATGTAAAATGCATGATCTATAGATTATTAAAAGACAACCAAATCAGAAAAAAATAGCTTGGTAACTTGGGACTAAAAAAGTAATTGGAGGTTTGCTTTTTCTCAATTTTGAAAGCCTATTTACAAAGTAAGTTGCATACAATGAAATTATTTAGTTAATTGAAAATAAAAAGCCTGGTATTGAACCAAAAAGCTGGTCATCAAATTCATTTTTACCAACAATAGCTAATTGAGTATTTATTTATCATCTATATAGTCTCATCTTGGCGTTGCAAAGTAGGTATTAGGTTGAGGCTGTCATTTCTGGGACAGTCAATGTAGCAGTGGCTGCTGGTTCTAGAGATCCCATGGGCCCTGGAGCCCCCGTAGGTCCCTTTCTATATGACCAATATATAATAGACTTATAAATATATATCTTCCTAGTATTATTATTATTATTATTATTATTTTTTTGAGACAGAGTCTCGCTTTCTTGCCTAGGCTAGAGTGAGTGCCGTGGCGTCAGCCTAGCTCACAGCAACCTCAAACTCCTGGGCTCAAGCAATCCTACTGCCTCAGCCTCCCGAGTTGCTGGGACTACAGGCACGAGCCACCATGCCCAGCTAATTTTTTATATATATATATTAGTTGGCCAATTGATTTCTTTCTATTTTTATAGTAGAGACGGGGTCTCGCTCAGGCTGGTTTTGAACTCCTGACCTTGAGCAATCCGCCCGCCTCGGCCTCCCAGAGTGCTAGGATTACAAGCGTGAACCACCGCGCCCAGCCCCTAGTATTATTTTTGCCATGTGTCTTTGCTTGCAAAATGAGATGTTAACACTCCATGGAAGGCTAAAAATATATTTTCTTAAATACATAATTTTATGAATCTTAGTACCTCATATCTTATTAGAAATATTTTATGAAGACAAGGAGTTTTGTCTGTTTTGTTCACTGATGTATCTCTAATGTCTATAATGGTGCCTAATAGATAGGAGATGTTTAATAAAAAGTTATTGAATGGATAAATTATCAAGTGGGTGAATAGAGCAGTATTGTTAGTAAAAACATTTTTTGTCATTATATTAAAAAATACTGCAGATCTCTTGAAAATTCTTTTAGTCTTTTTTAGGTTTGTTGTTATAAGTTTGTTATTATTTTGTATTCTTTTCTTCCCTAGGAATTAGTATTTAACGTAAGTATACTTGAAAGGATTGTGAAGGCAGAGGCAGAAATACTGAGGAAATTGAATAACAGCTCAGTACATGTAAATGTTCATTGAAATTTTTATTTTCTGTTTTTCCTGTACAAGTTCAGTTACAGGCCTCTCTGCAGCAAGTGGGTGTGAGCTGCATTATTCCATTATAGCTACACAATTGGTATGGCCCTGTGTGAACCTATGGGATCTGGGGCATGTAATGGTTAAGCTGATTTTGCTGAGGTGTCAAGAATGCATTTAAATACCTCTGGATTCTTGCCAGACCAAATTTCTAAGACTATTCTTTATTTTAGACTAAAAAATACAGTAGGTCTGATGTGCTCAGGCATGCATATTGAGCTTCTATTTTCTGAATGTACTGTAATTCAAAGGGAAACTTTTTTGAAGCAAGACAGGTCTTTACACATTACTTATGAATAACTTGCTTCAGATCTTAGATTCTTAATTGAGGATCTGCTTCTGTAGTCTTACTCAGGTGAAACTTATAAAGGACTTTTTATGGGTATAATCAAATACTGGATAGATGGTTTCTATAAATACTGAGGCGATATTTAGATAAATTATTAGAATTAAAATTTACCCTATGCCATTTCCTGGTATTTTGAAAGATGAAAATTCTATAAAACATGACGTTAATGCAGGGACTGAGGTGCTGATTAACCCATAAAAGAGTGTTTTCCTATGGCACCATTCACATACTTATTATTGCTTTCATCTCAATGGTAATTTAGTAAAGAAAATTGTTGTTGCTAAAGATAAAATTATTATTTGTAAATAAGTCTTATGCATGGATAGTGCTATGAACACATTTCAAAAGTTCAGAATTTTTAAAAAGTTGTCTTAATTTTGAGAAAAAACAACAACAAAACCCATTCATTCCTCCGCTTCCCCCTTACCCATAGGGATTTTTTATCTTTGAATATATTCCCCACATTAGCCTTTTACTGGATCTGGCAGCCAAAAGCAGTGTTTTAGCTGTCCTTTTGTTGGGCAATGACTGGGTTTCTCATTTCCTGTTACAAAAGATCTTTTAAGTTCTGTTAATAATATGTTGTAATATTTTCCCATACATAACTAATGCTGTAACCTGAATGTTTTATATTTCTTCTTTATATAAATTGAAAGCTTTTGATGAAGAAGTTTATTTTGATGTACAGAACACTTTAAGTAAATTTTAAAGATTCTGAATAACTATAGTTTCTTTTGAATTTAAGGAAATCACTAATCTGACACTTTTTTAATATTGCAGACAAGATATCTTCATATTCTCTGTTACAACTTTGGAGTAGAAACCCACAAGCAGAATAAATATGAAGAAAGCTCTTTCTGGCTTAGGTAATACAAATAAAACAATGAATGTAAATTCAGGAATAGTATCATAGAGGACAGTTAATATTTACTGTAGGGTACTTTGGCAGTTTAAACCTTCTCTGACTTCAAATGACAACATGATAAATTTATTTACTCTTTTAACATGTATTGCTTATTCTTACATGTTGCCAGTTGATAGAAAAATGTGTTCTTTTCTTCATATAACATAAAAACTTACTCCCCATACCCCATTCTTCCTTTGTATCTCCATCAGGAATATGAAAAATTTATTTGTTGTTGCTTTGGAAGTTATTGCTGTTTGCCTGCACCAGGGTATAAGGTGGAGGGGTGGGTGGGGGTAGTATCAGGCAAAATTATTAGTCTTAGATGAATTTTGGCATTTTAATATCAGTCAAGTAAGTATATATTGATATGTAACACTTACTGAATGCTGAGCACTATACTAAGATTTGGACTGTTGTGCTTAAGCCAGATATATCAAGAAGATAACACAAGAACATAGCACCTATATGCAAGAACCATGTCTTTTACTGAAAACCTGGGCCTGTGCAGACACATAATAAATACTCAGTAATTGCTAAATGAATTTGTGTGAAAAAAGTATTTTTCTGGAGATGTCACATAGGGTGCTTTGAATATCAGAGGATCATGGAGTAAAATATATTAAATCAATTCACTAAATGTTTACCTTGTCTGAGTATAGGGTTCTAGTTATTTGGAAATACTACTGTGATTATTTTAACGATAATCTAACTATTGTATAAATTATATTTATCATTTAAGGAAATGAATACAAATATGGTCATTGAAATTATATACTCACGTGTATCTTTAACAAAATATTTATGCAAATAACTTGTTTATGTAAAATACTTTTTAGAGCCCAAAGATTAATCAAACTCTGTTCAAAGAACTATGTTTGATAGAATAGGCTTATACAATTGTAAGATATATACTTGTCTCAACTTAGACTACTTTACACAATTGTACTATACCTGAAAGTTTTTATTATAAATCACATTTTTATAAATTTAATTATTTAAAATATACCAACAAAGCTAACTAGTTTAGCTCAGTTTTACCACAGATTTCCTTTAAATAAAGTACATGATGAGTGAGTTCTAGCCCAGGATTTGGCTGTATTTGGGAGTAGAACACTTACAAAGTTTATGGCATCAACGTATCACAAGACTGGTATGCCAAGAAGGCAGGAATGGGGAGGTCCAAACAAACAAAATAAAACAAACAAAAAAAGGATGCTGGTACCATTGATGGCTTCTGGAAACTTAAGTCTGGAACTGAGCTTGAAGGTTATACCAAGAATGAGGGTGAATTAATTAGGAGTCATTAAGATGAATGTTTTCTAGAAACTGGTCAAAACATTAGGCTGAAGCTTGAAGTGGCATGACATGAAGGTTATTTCCACAAATGCCATGTGTTTTTCACCTCTTATCTGTTATCATCTTTTTTTCTTTCTTTTTAAAAAATCTTACAGAAGGAAAATGTGTGGTGATGATGGGACCTGACTGACATCCACATCATAAGCTAACACTATCAGATTTTTGCTATATTTAGTGGCTATATTTGTGGCAAGATAATTTGGCCCACAGTGATATTTTCATAAAAATCTAAAGAGATAACATTTTTAGAGTACCGCTGTATTGGTGTTTGCATCATTACAATGATATTGAAGAAAACAGAAAAAACTTTAATTCTAGCCTTAGTTATTATATATGATTTTAATCTTTCTGCCTCCTTATTTTTTCCACATCTTTTGGGCATATAAAAATAATTTGGTGAAATATGTACAAATGCCTTGAAAGGAATTATCATATTTTAATGATTAAAAGATGTAAAAGTAATTATCAATTATGTTAACATTAGGAATTTTAGCACAGTGAATAGACTTTAGTACCAGACTAATTCTCATTCAAAATTTGTTGTCATCTATGATATTAGTACAAAATTGTTAAATATTGTGATACTTTTTAGAGTACTGTAGGGTTTAAATATAATGCTGCGTGTATTATAGAGTGTTCAGTAACACTCCTAGAAAATAGAACTGCTCAGTAAATGGTAGCTGCTGCTGCTGCTACCTTTAGGTATTTGCTATTTACTGCAAATGGACACTCCTGTGGCCACTCCACTAGTTTCTTCTAACATTTATCATAGATCAAGCATGGATTACTCTTAACTTCCCAAATAAAATGTCATAAAACCAACATCTACATCTTCTATCATAATAGTGTCAATCTTTGGAACAGTTTTTTTTTTTTTCATGTTTTAATTATATCCATGTGTTGAGACAACTGTTGAGAGCAGTTGGTGCTATAAGCAGAGATGAATAGCTACTAATTAAGCATTCTTTTCTGTAAATTTTATATCAGAAGGAGGCCATGGAAAATGAGTGTACATTCTACAGGCCTAACTCTTTTTGAGAACACTGAATACCTACTGGGTGGGGAACCTGCGACCTTGGGGCTACATGTGGCCTTCTGGATCCTTGAGTGTAGCCTTTTGACTGAATCCAAATTTTGCAGAATAAATCCTTTATTAAAAGGGGCATAACAGGCCGGGCGCAGTGGCTCACGCCTGTAATCCTAGCACTCTGGGAGGCTGAGGCGGGCGGATTGCTCAAGGTCAGGAGTTCAAAACCACCCTGAGCAAGAGCGAGACCCCATCTCTACTATAAATAGAAAGAAATTAATTGGCCAACTAATATATATAGAAAAAAATTAGCCGGGCATGGTGGTGCATGCCTGTAGTCCCAGCTACTCAGGAGGCTGAGGCAGGAGAATTGCTTGAGCCCAGGAGTTTGAGGTTGCTGTGAGCTAGGCTGATGCCACGGCACTCACTCTAGCCTGGGCAACAAAGTGAGACTCTGTCTCAAAAAAAAAAAGGGGGGGGGGCGCATAACAGGGAAGGATGAAGCTTTTCTTGGCCTCTCCTTTAGTGCTTAAAAAAGAATAATCTTTTTTTTTGAGACAGAGTCTCGCTTGTTGCCCAGGCTAGAGTGATTGCCGTGGTGTCAGCCTAGCTCACAGCAACCTCAAACTCCTGGGCTCAAGCAATCCTCCTGCCTCAGCCTTCCGAGTAGCTGGGACTACAGGCATGTGCCACCACCGGCTAATTTTTTCTATATATTTTTAGTTGTCCAGCTAATTTCTTTCTGTTTTTAGTAGAGACAGGGTCTCACTCTTGCTCAGGCTGGTCTCAAACTCCTGAGCTCAAACGATCTGCCTGCCTCAGCCTCCCAGAGTGCTAGGATTACAAGTGTGAGCCACCGCACCCGGCCTCTATTCATATATGTTTATAGTTTATTGAACTTTTTAAAGAAGATTATTCTAGATTCTTTATCAGCCATTTCATGGATTTGCATTTCTTTTTTTTTTTTTTAATTTCGGCATATTATGGGGGTACAGATTTTAAGGTTTCAATAAATGCCCTTTCCTCCCCCTGCCCCCACAAGTCTGAGTTTCCAGCATGACCATCCCCCAGATGGTGCACATCTCACTCATTATGTATATATATACCCGCTCCCCCCCTGGATTTGCATTTCTTTAGGGTTCATTATTGGAGCTGTATTAGTTTCTTTTGGAGTTGTTGTGATTTCATGATTCTTTGTAATCTTTGTTTCCTTGCATTGTTGTCTGTATTGCCTGCACATTTGAGCAGACAGTTCTCCTGTCTGAACTTTACGGTAGTTGTTCTTTGGCAGGGATAGACCTTTACTGTTTATTCTATCCTGTGATTCTGGAAGGACCAGGTGGTGACAATCCTGGACAGGCCTAACTTGTTATGTATTCTCTAATTTACTGGGCCACTAACTTTGCCTTGATGTTGCATGGAACTTCTTCTGGCTTGGCTCCTTTTTCTGTTGAGACCCCTGGCTGGGGTCTAATATCAGGTGGAGCTGCTGGAAAACTATTGTGATTGCTTATGGTAAGGCTAGTCATAGGAGGTATTCCATGGCTGGTTGATTCTGCCATTTATCATCTGTAGTTGAGCAGGGCTCCAGGCTGAATTCCATAGTTAGATGTAGCCAATGCTTAGGATTGGTGGGATCAGAAGCTATGTTCCTTAGAAATGAGTAATTGAGGATTGCATCTGTGTCAGGGTGGACCTTTGTCTGAGTTGTGTTGCTGTTTGACCTCCCAGGTCAAGCAGGTCTAGCTATTATGCTTCTCCAAAATGTGTCGAGGTGGGACTCTCTCTGTCTGAGGCAGGTTATTGCATGGGCTTTTTGGCTAAGTAAAGCCACTGCTCGAATTTTTGGGTCAAGCAGGTCTAGCCCCTATGCTTTTCAGCAGAGGCAGCTATTTCTCTGACTGAGCAGGGTCATAGGGGTGAACTCTGAGACCCAGTGTGGAGACTAGCTGTCTAGGGATGCAAGCTAGGGCGAACTTCTCACCACGCTTCTAAAGGTGACCAGCTCAGCTTTGTGAGTGTGCCGTGAAATTGGCTGGTATTTTCAACTGAGTGCCACAGCTGGCAGGAACACAGAGGTGCTACTAATATCCGTGAGCTGGTCATGGTGGCCTCTGCCTCCTTTTTTTGGTGACCCCAATAGTCTAGATGTATCCTTGCCCCCAGTGTTCCCTGTGACATGAGACTGGAGTGGGCCTCCAGGGAAGTGTCTCAGAATGCTTGGGATGCTGAATAAATGCCTCCAGTTCACTTTTTCCACTGTGGAAATTGTGGGCCCAGGGGATTCCTTTGACATCTAGTGTTGTGCCAACTTGGTGGAGGGAAAAGGGTGGTGTGATCACAGTGAAGCCATTCTTATCCTTTTTTTTTTTTTTTTTTTTTTTTGAGACAGAGTCTCACTTTGTTGCCCAGGCTAGAGTGAGTGCCGTGGTGTCAGCCTAGCTCACAGCAACCTCAAACTCCTGGCCTCAAGCAATCCTCCTGCCTCAGCCTCCCAAGTAGTTGGGACTACAGGCATGCGCCACCATGCCCGGCTAATTTTTTTTCTATATATATTATTGGCCAATTAATTTCTT